TAAACGCTGCTTTGTTGAAACGCCTGTCTCGTCAAATCTGTCGTCCTGTGTCTGTCTGCTGCTAATGAGCCTGAGTGTGAGAAAGTCTGACCAGAGAAATTCTCACTGCAGCTCACGGATGACTGGCTCGCTGTGGGAGAGACACCGTGGCTGCGTGCTGACACGAGACGTCTCACCGATGTCTCCAAGAGAAGACAGAAGAACTAAGGTGAACTTTAGGATGAGATGACTGTGTTCGTCACCTGCAGCTTCAGAAAACATGTCAGCTTGTTCCTGCTTTTATTATTAAGACGTTTGAATTACTTTCAAATGTGTAACTATCAAATCAACAATAAATATGATGAACTCTTTAGTATAGATCATTTACTTACAAAATGAGAATGAGCCTGAGAAATAAGATTTGTTTTTCTCTACAACATTTAGCCTATGCTCAGTTGTAGTTGTTTATTAAATTTATACCAATAGCATGATAGAGACACTCACATACTGAATATGCTCATGAAAAAAATTAAATGGAACTTACAATAAATGTGTTTGGAATTTGATCTTTATAGTGAAGAAAACCATCAATTATTTGAAAAGTTGTACTATAGGTGTTAAATTTCTACAATAGGCTCATATAATCCTTGTGCTTCATTCATTGGCAGTAGCTTGTGAGAGTATAGAACTTTTCAACCAGAGCCAGATGCTTTGAGGAAATACAGCTGCAGTGTTTATTATAACAACAATTGTGACTAAATGTAATCCAGTCTTCATCTTCCTATATCCAAAACAATGTAAAACAGTCAGTGTCTGTATAATTTCAAATGTTTAATGCCTCCTGTACAGAATCCATCACAGGCCACTTGCTCTCAGGTTGTTTATGGTTTTCTGATTATTTAAGACAGACAGAAAGAAAGAAAGACAGATAGAAAGAAAGAAAGAAAGACAGAAAGAAAGGAAAAAGAAAGAAAGAAAGGAAGACAGACAGACAGAAAGAAAGAAAGACAGATAGAAAGAAAGAAAGAAAGACAGAAAGAAAGGAAAAAGAAAGAAAGAAAGGAAGACAGACAGACAGAAAGAAAGAAAGAAAGAAATAAGCGTGGAGGATAGCAGGGTGCAGACAGATGAATAAAGAAGTGTTCTCTCTTTGTGTGTTTGTCTTCTTTCACCACTTTAATAAAGCTAACATTGCCTGGTGTCTTTTTTTTTATGATACAATGGTTTTATATATAATCTTATCATTATATTTACCAGCTCGTGTTTGTGTGTTTTTTTTCATCGGGTTAAATGTGAAGCTGGTGTGTAATTTATATAGAATATTAAACCTTCAGGTGCAGACGTGTTTCTCTGGTTCCACGTAGAACGACAGGCTCTGCCCTGCACGCGCCCAGGTTTAGTCAAGCGAAAGCAATTACTCCACGGCACGCGCCAACCAGCTGAGCCGTTGTAGACACATGGACGCGAGGAAGTGCTCCATAACTACAACCCTTACAATAAATAAAGACATATGTTTTTATTATATCTGTATTAATTAATAGTAGTGTTGTTATTGTTTCTATTATTATTGTTGTTGTTGTTGTTATTATTAATGTTGTTATTATATCAGTGATAAGCATGGGCTGCAGTGTTTACTGGTAAATGATTCATTTAGAACCTGGGTTATTTGGGATTTGTCTCCTGTTTGTATCCCAGTGTTATTTAAGGTGGTTGGGGGGGGGGGGGTCACACAGTGTCTTAAAAACACCATGCATATTGCTGCAGGTTGAATCAGCAGCATGAACATGAGTAGAGGACCTGTCCTCATTTGAATGTTCCCGCGCAGCAGCAGATGTGACCATACAATAGATGGGGCCCACGCGCTGAATAGCTGAGTCCAATTTGAATAACTGTCGCACGTCTGACGCGTGCACGAAGTATCCCAGCTTTCCCAGGCTCCGTGGAAGAACCGTTGGCAGCCCCTTTTCCACTTGAATGGGGATTTAGCTTTTCTCATTGCCTTAAGTTGTGGGAGCGTCTTTGAAGGAGCCTGGGAAAGACTCCGCTTCACCTCCACATGATTAAACCCTGTGTTCGAGCCTTTATTGTACAGAGCTGCTGCTGCAGGCTGCAGCTGCACACAACATGTCTGCTGGAGGCAGCGTTTAATGTCTGGACCTCAATTAGCAAACGGACAAAAATGCACAAATAAGTATGAACTTGAAAATACAGTGCAATAATATAGGAAGAAAGCTGGTCTATACAAATTTCAAATTTAGTGTAGCCTGTTGTCAATGTGTCATTGGGATTTTAAACTGTGGGTGAAGCCTATATTTGTCCTAAA